AACCCGGTATTTTAACAACATCTCTACCGTTTTATAAAAAAATGTTTTATTTTGTCTTTGTTTTTATTATTTGTTCGTTTTATACTTAATTCCCCTACATTTTTCCTGTTTTTTTTCCCTAAATTTTAAAGTTTAAAGTTACATGTTGTATGGATTTCTCAAGATGAGGATCCTAAACTTAATAGCCGTTTATAAGAGATGATAAATGCCTAAACAATACATTTATATATATATATATATATATATATATATATATATATATATATATATATATATATATAGAGAGAGAGAGAGACATACACTTATTTTCTGTTTATGCATTATTTTTATAGATACAAAAATTTAACATTTATATTTCAGGAAATGCTCTGTTTATAATAAACATGCATTTACCGACCTGAATGTACGAGAAATTTCAGAAAATATGTGTCCTCCGACAGGAATCGAACCTGTATTCTACAGGAAACCGTCTTATGGCCTGAAGTACTATAGCCTGACATGCTATACCATTTAGCTACAGAGGAAGCGTCTGGTTAGCACGGAAAAATTACTGTTCTTAAGCTACAAATTTCCCATTTCTCAAACGCTCATATCTGACTGACAATTATTTTAATACACACACATTCACACACACATATATATACATATACATATATATATATATATATATATATATATATATATATATATATATATATATATATATATGGGAGCAGGACCAAGTGGTTAAAACGTTCTCTCCCATTTTGATGATATCGCCAATGTTCGACACCTTTCGAAAGTGCCCGAAAAGAATGGGTCAACCCGAAACCTTGTTAGTGAAAGTGAAATTACATAGACGGAACCGTTCGGAAGCTTCCAGTGTTTGTGCTAGCTCAAAATCACCAATGAATATCAAAAAAATGGATCATGCCATTGATTATACGCTCTCTCCCAGAAACAGTAACTATGGTCCGCTCACCGTAGTTGCATTATAAAACACGAGTGGACTGTCATAGGGATTTGCTTGCCGCCATACAGAGACGGCTGCTCGGAAACGATTAGTCGCCGTCCATAGCATAGCTGTGTGCGTGCGTGCGTGCGTGCGTGCGTGCGTGCGTGCGTGCAACTAAATCTGACCACACATGAGTATTTATTTTAGAAGTTCTTCGTCTGCTCAGGAATATTTTCATCACCCCCCCTCTTATATGAATTCGTCTCTGTAAACCATTACCCACTCTCATTAGTTATATAAAAATACATACTTTCATGGTAATTGTTCGGTTGAGATCTTCGCTGTGACACCCAGACTTTTTTTTTTTTAATTTAAGCGCAGTACTCGATCGGCGTCATGTTCTCATCAATTTACAGTTGAGCTGGTTAAATGTAGCCGTAAGTTCTATGCTAATAGTGTCTTTTCTCACACTTTTCACTTGTGGAACTCCCTTCCAGCTCCATGCTTTCCAGCCAACTTTAATATCCAAAAATTTAAATTCAATATCAATCACTATCTACTGTCCGCCTGATTACTCTTTTCTCTTCCCACTCATTAGTAATATTTCTGTTCCTAATTCTTTCACCTCCAATAACCTCTTATGTCTCAGTGGCTTTATTGCCTTGCTTGGAAATCGATTAAAAATATCTTTCTTAGATTTTATCATACCTGTGAAGACAATTTTATTTAACCTAAGATATTATTAGATGTTACCAGAGGCCTTTTTTCTTTTTCATTCTTTTTTCGCTTTCTTTATTCTTTTTTGCTTTTTTATATTTTTTTATTTATTTATTTTTTATTATACTGTTTAAAACGGCTTTATTCTCTGAAACGCTTCACACACAACTAACAGCATTATAATCCAGTGCTGCACATAAATACTTATTTATTGAGCGTCCTGGGTAAGATGTTAAACTACATCCACGTCCTCGGTAAGACGATAAACTACGTCCAGCAGCAAGGCCTCTGATCAAGAGGTTTTGAGGAGCGTGGAACCACCTCACCTGGGTGGTAGCACCTGTTAGGGTCCCAGCTATGGGCAAATAGTTAACTATTACCAGCAATACTTTTTGAAGAAATTATTACTAGCAATACAATTTTAAAGGAAGGTTATTACCAGAAACAGATTTTTGACAAAACAAAATATTACCAGCAATAAAAAATTTTGTCAACATTAAATAACCCATTGAGGTTGATATGCCGTAAAACAAAATAAACGAAACTAAACCAAAGAATACATATTGTATTCATACAAATCTATCCTAAAAATTTTGTCGGCATTAAATAACCCATTGAGGTTGATATGCCATAAAATAAAATAAACCAAACCAATCTAAACCAAAGAATACATATTTTATTCATACAAATCTATCTTAAAAATGTTGTCGTCATTAAATAACTCATTGAGGTTGATATGCCATAAAACAAAATAAACCAAACCACTCTAAACCAAAGAATACATATTCTATTCATACTAATCTATCCTAAAAATGTTGTCGGCGTTAAATAACTCATTGAGGTTGATATGCCGTAAAACAAAAATAAACCAAACCAAACTTATTTATTAAGTATTCATACTGAGAAATGTAGAACTGGTACGAAAAAAAGAGCATTAAAATCCTAAAAAGGCGCGTCACATCATCTGTAGATTAAATAAATAAATAAAAATATTAACATAATAAAAAAATAATTTATTTCACTGGCGAAAGCCTGTCCTAAATTTAAAACCCAGCAGTAGTGATTGAACATATGATCTCTAGATAAATAACTTCCTTTAAAATGTCTAATGGTGGTACTTTGGAACCTTGAACTTTAGATCAGTTCTTTTACAATAATGATTTGGGTCTCAGAAATCCTCGGCAAAAATATGCTGAAGAAATGTTTTTCTAACACACAGTAGCCATTGGTTTGATTCTATTCCATATTTGTGTCTTGAACTCTGGTCCAAAAAACGAATACGTGGACATGGTTAAATGTAATTGGCAGAAATGCCCATCAAACAGAATTGACAAAGTTTGCAATATAAAATAAGAGAAAGAAGAGAAAAGAACAAAAAATAATACTGAGCAAACAATACAAGGTAACAGCAATAAGGCAAAGCAACAGTAAGTTCACAAAAAGGTCTACAAACAAAGAACGGTGTTACCATACAAAATAGACAAGCGATCGTAGCGTTCTGGCTTCAAGACAAGAAAGAACAGAACTGAATTTGATTAGACGAAGAAGCGGCTTATTTTATTGATTAGGGGAAAAAATCCCAGCATGCATTTTTGTGTTGTCTATAAATTTGGCGAGAAGAAAGTTTTTTGCAGTTATTCCCTGTAATGCACCTAGTTAGGATTTCATAGAGAATTTGAGGTATTATGGTGGACGTAGTAAGAAAGATAAAAGTGAATGTGTCGTTTTGGTGATAGGACTATTGTTGGTATGTTTGGGCCCGTGTCTGTGACTAGCTAAGTTTAGAATTAAGACAAAAGAAGACCGTCCTTCCCCAATCCCCTTTTTGGGCCTTGTGCCACATTTTGTACATAAGTACAAATAAATATCTATTCCCTGTAAATGCTTCTTGATTCTATCTATCGATAGAATACAGCGGCTGCTCTTATTATCTTGAGTGGTTCCTACTAACATTATTTTGTTTTCGTTTTGTCTTTGGTTGAAGAAGGTTTGAGTTTCTTGTCGGGGTTCATATCCCCTCCCCATCATTTTATGTTTCACGAAATTTATATATATATACGAACTTTATAATTTTTTAATTCATGGGGTGTTTTGTAGACCCTTGTGAATATGTGGTGTTGTGGTGTGTGTAGGATTGAAAGATGATGGATGAATTCTTGTGGTGAATGTGTAATTGTAATGAATGAATGGGTCATGATTGTGGTTAACTAGGAATAGGATAGCTAGTGAAAGACCAGCCTTCTCCACACTCCCCCTTTTGACCTTGTGCCACAATTTTTTTTTTTTTTTTGTTGTTGTTTTGTTTTTTTGTTTTTTTAAATAAATATCTTCCCTGTAATTGAAATCAACAATTTTCCAACCATTTCTGTGATCCATAATTTTACTTATTCCTTCATTTCTGATTCTACTGTTGTCGGAGCTGATCACTAAAGCTTCTTAATGGTCTACATTGTTCCATAATATGGACGAGCAAAATATGATTTCCAAAAGTTAAACAAAGTATTAAAAAAGAGAAAAATTAGTTAGAAACAAACAAAAGACTAGGGCTGAGGAGCTATCTAATATAAATCCGCCTATATGGTTGTGAATGCAGGATAATTTCCTCGCAGATGAAGAGGATACTTGAGGCAACAGATTTGATTCTACAGAAGAATACTGACAATGCCAGGGACGACATATAGGAGCAACGAAGAAATTTTAAGGAAGATAGAAACAAAAAACTTATATTTAGAATGTGAAACATCCTTTGCTACATTTAATTAATGATGACCATCGTTCATTTTCATCACAATTCTTGCTAAGATTGGAGAGTAATTAAACATTCTTATTCTTATGTAGAGTCCAATAATGTTATGAAATCCTCGGAGAATTCCAATAAGATATGTCATCACTTCTATGATACAACGTTTCAAAGCTTAATCTAACAAGTGAACAATTTTGGTGTTACACCCGGCATATATATATATATATATATATATATATATATATATATGTATATATGTGTGTGTGTGTGTGTGTGTGTGTGTTTGTGCGCGCGCGTTTGTTTAATGAAATATACAATTCCACTAAATATGGCAGAATACAGCGGTTACGGGTCCCATGATTAAAATCGACGCTTTCTTCAATTTGAAAGAAAATCAGAATTTATTGTTCTTACAGCCAAAATAATATTGATATTTTCTGATGTGTAGAAATAAATCGTTAGGGGTGGCGGTGATGTGGTTAGAGAGAGAGAGAGAGAGTTAGAAAGAGAGAGGAGGTGGGAGAGAAAGTTGAAATAAAGCAACCTGTTGAAAATGCAATATTGATTATCAGCTTTTTTGTATGCATTCGTATAATTAGGCTTACGGCTGCCCGTACAATCATCGAAGTTAAGCAATATCGAGCCTGATCAGTACCTAGAGGAGTGACCGCTTGGGAATACCAGGTGCTGTAAGCTTAGATGTGCTTGTGATGTAGTAGATAATACCCATGAATTTTTAATCGGACGAGCCAAGTTCCAATATATTCACTTACGCGCAAATACCCTTGGGAAAGTGGTGAAACCACTTTTTCTCCCTCCTAGCTACGGGTTAATTAGTACGACTTGAATAACTAAACCATTTTTTATCTCCAAAAAATAATTCTTGCAATCTAAAAAATTTTTCTGTTTTTAAATATTCATGAAAGGGTTGATAAGCCGTAGGAAACGAATCAATCAATCAAAAAATTATTTTGGGGCCACCTTTTTTTGATTACAATAACTGGTTGATATCATTATCCATGCTATTTCATAAACGGCTTCTGGCTGTCTCTTTGAAATTTTGCGAGATGGACATGCATTACTAAATGTCTATTACAATGTTTAAGTAGATTTAATTTTCATAAAATGAATTTTGAATGCTTGGATGTGTGGGTGGTGTAATGGAAAACGACTCGAAAATGTTAATTGGAGAGCCGAGTTCCAATCCCGTTTGCTTTTGTTACATTCATTTACGCGTAAATACCCTTAAGAAAGTTATGAATCCACCTCCTCTCCTTCAGCTATGGGCTAAATAGTAAGACTTTTATCACTAAAACCATTATTAAATAATTGAAGGCAAAATATTAAAATTTCAGCATTAAAGAAAAAAAACTATAGAGCTTGATATGCCGCTAAATAAAATAAAAATTTGTATAATCGTATTTGGGGCTGCCGATTAATTAGATATAGAAGTAGGGGTTGCATAATTAAACGGGCGCAGATTGTCGAAGAATGTCAGTTTTCTTCGGTATTCAGTTGACTTTGGAAATAAGAAGTGATTTGTCCTATGGTTGATTCTGAGTAGTTAACGTGTGTCAGGTGGTCTTCGAAAACATCTCTTATTAGCTTTAATGTCATCTTCGTGTTGCCGCTTCTGATTGTACAGGTTGTCATTTGGGCGTGCCCGAATCGACACATATTCATCTTTCTTCATCTCTGATGCTTGTTTGAGTAACGTGGTGAATAATGTTATTGTTTAATAATAATACAGAAATTTCAGTGATCAAGTAAGCTGACTGAAGATTTTCCGAAGATCCAATCTGCTTATAGTCAAATGCCTTTGACAAGACGTCAAATATGAATTATAGCGCCCTTTGTTTACAACTGATGACGTTTTATACTCTGCCTCTCACGACGCTCTCCCGATATTATCTTAAAGGAAAACTTACTTTATTTACATTCCGACCAATGTCCTCATTTTTATTGTTATCACAAATTATCTACCGTCGTGTCCTCCGGCATTTTAAATATATATATACTTACTGGAGAAGGTACTGTAGGGTAATGGATAGTGGTTCGGATTGAGGAATCGGAGAGTCGATTTCGAATTCCAGTCGGGCCCATTACATTCACTTAGGTGTTAATACCCTTGGGAAAATATGGATACTCTTCTCCCCCACCTAGCAGAACAAACTAGGTTCTATAGCTTTGGGTGGCAAACGGGCTAGGAGGAGTTCACGCTGAATTCAAAACCGGCCTCTTACCCAAGAAACACCACTTCTACTACAACCCAGATGGGTGACGGGATCTATATATACTGGACTCTTCCGTCGTTTTCCGACGTATTAGGGTCAATCAGCTTAGTTCGAACCAACAGCCAGACAACCCGTGCATATCATTTGATTAACGTGGTGAAGGTTTCGGTAGAGACAACCACACTTTTTGAATGGACCGAGAACAGTAGAACTGTCACACAGTATCCCACAATGCCCCAAACGATCGTCTGAATGTTTTGAATTCAGACTTGTCCTTCTCCTAAATCTCGTTAAGGCTATAGGACCCAATCTGCCTTGCTATTTACCCATAGCTGAGTAGGAGAATAGATGGATTCATATATTTCCCAAAGGTATTTCGACCGGAATACGTACTTGGCTTTCCGAGCCGCTATCCATTAATCCAGTGTGCATCCATCTACCATTTATATATATATATAAATTTAAGTCTACCATTCGTTGATGCTTTGAATATTATTGCTGCCACATCTGGTCTTCTGCATCTGCTATATATTCTGATTCTTTATAAAATCCAGAGAAGAATCTGCAATGTTATTAATCCTGACCTGGCATCTCGGCTTCAGTCACTTTCCCATCACCCTAACGTAAGTTCCTTGTGCCTATTCTCTAAATACTTCCATGATATTTATTCTGATGAACTTTCCTCTTTAACTCATAGACTTTATGAATTTAATTGCAGTACTATTTTGGCGACAATGTCTCATCACTTCACAGTTGAAATGGCGCGATGTTACCGTAGGTTCTATGCTAACAGTTTCTTCTCTCGCACTTTTCGCTTGCAGAACTCTCGTCTGGCTTCTTGCTTTCTAGTCAGCTTTGATTTAAAATATCTAAATGCAATGTCAATCGTTATCTTGTCTTCTTAATTCCTGTTGGTTTATTGTTTGCTCAGCTTAATAACCTTTTCTTTTTCTCATATTCTCTAATACACAGTTATCACCCCCTTGCGTCTGAGTGGCTTTATCGCCATTGTCTAAGATTATCGTTTATCCTACAAAATAGTTCATCCGCACTTTGACAGATCTCACCATTTTTTTTATTCATTTAACTCCAATGAAATGAATAAAAAAATGGTGTGATCTGTCCAAAGGCGGTTGAACTACTTTGTAGGATAAATGATCATCTTAGACAATGGCGTAAACTGGGCTCGATAGCTATGCAGACGGAAGAAAACTGCCAGGGGCGATTGTTCCGCCGACTGAATCAACATTCACGAGTCTGCAACCAAAGTGAGCCTTCAAGCCAGAAGGCAATCGGCTTGATCTGGAGAGGAATGGACTCCGCCATGTTTACTTGCATTGATGAGTAGATGTTTGGCAGAACCGGGATTAGGAGAGATATTAAAAAGAGAAACATTGATAAGAAATTAGGGTGATTAATGATCGCCCAGATTCGGAAGGGATATGATACATTTTTTCATCGGAATCACCCCCAAGCAAGGCAGAAATGCCACTAAAACACAAGGGGTTACTGGGTGTGGAAGAATTAGGAATAGAAACATTAACGATGAACAAAAAGAGAAGAGAGTAATTACATGGACTGTTCCACAAGCGAGAAACTGTTGGCATAGAATTTACGGCTACATTTAGCCGGATCATGTGTAAATTGATGAGATCTTGACGCCAGTCTAGTGCTGCACTCAAATTGAAAAACTCTAGATACCATAGCGAGAGCTCATTCGAACAATTAAGAGGAAAGTATTTATAGAAAAGACATAGAGAGGCAACCTGACGGCGGTAGAAAAGTGATTGAAGCCGAGCCGCCAGATCAGGACCGATAATATTGCAGATTTTTCTTTGGCTCTTATCAAGGTCAATATCAGGGACACCGGACCATATGTAACAGCAATATGATAAGCATGGACGAATGGTAGACTTATAGATATGTAAGATAGATTCTGAAGAGAAAAATTGTCTCGTCCGCCATAGTAAACCAACTTCCTTAGCATCTGACCCAGCAATATATTCAATATAGTATTTCCACTTCCCATATCAGCAGAGAACCTGAGCCCAAGAATGCACAAGTCACTTTACTGGAGGATAGCATCAGCCATGATGATGGAAGGCAGCAAGGGGTCTCTTAGATAATTAATGGAGAGAAGTTTAGTTTGGATGCGTTCAAATTAACAAGCCATCTTTTGCCCCAGTTAACTACGGACTTGACGTCTTTTTGGACATCGGCTGCCATTTTGAATTTGTCAGACTGATAAGCCTTACTATCGAGGCAGGAGTAAATTGTTGTGTCGTCAGCGTAGATACCAAGTTGAGAGATGATGTCATCAGGAACGTCACTAATGAATATTTACAATAGAGTAGGACCAAGTATGGAGCCCTTGGTGAGGAGAGGGTCACCTGCGTTCGTACGAAAGTGGCCGTTCAGGATAGCTCTCATTTCACGATTTGAAAGGAAAGTGTGGATCAGTTCAAAAAAGTGTCTGGAGACACCGTAACTTTTCAACTTGAGGAAAACACCTGAATGCCAGACCCAATGCAACATCCCGGGCTTCACTGTTTTTATATCTAGAGTATGAGAAACTCTTTCTGTAAATATCATCAGTACATCGGCAATTGACCTGAAGAAACGACAACCATAATGCTTGTCTGAGAAAAGGACCTGCGATGAGAGATGATGAACGAATTCTTTATTGATTAGGGTCTCTAAGAGTTGTCAAAAAGACGTAGAAGGCTAATAGACCAATAGTTGGAAGGGTCGGACGTCTGACCAGAGTTCTAAAAAAACTGGGACAGCGGATGATGACTTCCTGCAAGTAGGAAAACGGGGGACAGTGAGGCATTTATAAAGTTTAGAAAAAACAGGAGCTAGTTCAGGAGTACACTTCTTAATGACTGTTACAAGGATATAATCGTGTCCACTTGCTTTGTGAGGATCTAGATTAGAGATGATATCAGAAACCATGTAAGGGGTTACATGCTACCACCCTACAGAGACTCAGTTCTAGTAGGGGAGTTAGGCAGGTCATTCCGGATGAATCAAGCGTAGAATTTGAGGAGAATTTACGGGAAAGTTAAAGTTACGCAGACCGTTTTATTGTGAGAACCGCCGATTTTTGAAAAAGACACCCAAGAGAACGCTTTCACAATCGCTACAATTTAACCTCTTCACGTCTAGGGTCAACCGTTACCTATCCTACAAAACGTCGTAATTTTTACTTATTCCTCTTACAGTTATGCTTAAACCTGTTTCAGTAATTCACTACCTGTGTGGCTCTTAGGCCTTGTATTGGATGAACAGTTTAGTATAAAATAATTTTAAAAAACGAAACCGTAAGCTGTTGACAAAGATAGTAGCCAGCTAACAAATGGCACCGTCGATAAGTTTTTAGCACTTTCGCTAACTTTTCCAGTCAGCAATGGTTGCATTTTTTTTTTTTGTTTCAATAATCCAATGGCTCAAACAATAT